TCACCAGTTGCAGTCTGCAGCTTTGCTCCAGGTAGTGGCTTCACATAAAAAGTGGCCAAATCCGGTCGAATAATGTAATGGGTCGCTCCAGTATCCACTGTCAGTACTCTCTCCTGCCCATTCACACATCCACCAATAGTGAGGTTGCTCGCATTCCGCCAAATTTGTGAGACGGAGATTATGGGCCCTTCAACTTCTGGAGCCAGCACGCGGCCCTTCCTGCTGGCTCGTTTCAGTTTAACGACTGATTGGAGTTGGCTTCGTCTCCTTCAGCCCTGCCTTTGCGTCTTGCTGAATTGTTGTGACCACTGGAACTTGCGCTGCAATCGCGGGCGAAGTGGCCTGACTTTCCACATTTAAAACATTTGCCAGAACCATGCTTTTTCTCGCCCAGCAGTTGGATAATCTTCTTCAGCATTTCATTTGTCTCGTCCGGTGTTTCCACTTCCACGCGATGTGCTTTGTAGGCTGGTCTACTTAGGAGCGCCGCCGTTTCACGCGTCTGAGCATACGAGACAGTTTCAGCAAATGTTGGCTTTGGATTCGCGTACGTCCCTCGCTTGGTATACACGTCCCGCATTCCGTTGATGAACCTCTGGATTTTTACCCTTTCGAGGTGCTCACCAGATGCGTCTCCAATTGCCAAATGAGCCAACCTTTCAATCTCAGAGGCGAATTCCTGTAAAGTCTCGTTGGATTTCTGGCAGCGATTCTCCAGCTCCATCTGGTAAATCTGTCTACTATGCTCGCTACCGTACCGTCTCTCCACAGCACTCATCAACGCATCGTAACTGTTCCTTTCACAGTCGGGAATAGTCTGCAAGATTTCTGCCGCCGGTCCTTTCAATGCAACGAATAGTGCAGCGGATTTATCCTCCATGCTCCAATGATTTGCTGCAGCTGTCTTCTCGAACTGGAGCTTAAAGACTTGGAAAGGAATCGTGCCGTCAAAGGATTGAGTCTTTCCCTTGGGAGCACTTGTCGAAGTAGTTGGACGATTAATCTGCAAATCTCGGAGGCGACCTTCCAACTCTTCTACCTTTGCTTCGACTTTCTCCTGTCTCTCTTCAAGTTTGTCCTGTATTTGTGTAATTTTTTCATCCAGTGCTTCCAGTTGTGATGATATGCGTGCCTCCTGATACCTCTGAAGATTTACGTGTCTCCAAGGCTTGCATCTGTGAGGAAACGTCTGACGACAACTGCGACCTCTGTTCCTGCATCATCTGTGACATGGCAGCCAATAACGTGTTCATGTGCATACCTGTTGATGAACTAGGAGCATTTTGCTGTTCTTCAACCTTACCGGCTGTCTGCTGCAAACCCTTCGACGAACAATCAGCCTCATCCTTCTGTTAATCCTTCGTTGATGTCGTATCGTCCTCACGATGGAAGTCGTATTTGTCAACGTCGATACCTTCCTTTTCCATAGCCTCTCGCAGCCGTGATAGTAACCCTACTCTCCTTCCGGAGGTTGCTAAATTTCGCTTCTCCAACTCCTGTTTGAGCTCCTCGATCTTTAGGTCTTGAATTTTTGCCATCTTCAAAAGTTTATCCTTCGGGATTTATTTAACAATCCCACTCCTGACACCAATTGTTACGATTATCCTCGAAGCCTTGAGGGATTTCCCAAAATATACTCGGGCTCGTATCGCTGGATTGTTAAATAAATGCTAACGATGACCAAATTGTAGTACAATTACCTTTATTGTACAACAAACAATTTACAATACTTGCTAATACAGTAAAAACACTTTACAATACTTGTTAAAGCAATAACAACGCTTTACTACTTGTTAACACAATTAAACTTATAGCTTGCTTATTCGCAACTCACTTCTCCGCTCACTTTACTTGTAGATTGCTGACTTTTAACTAACTCACTTCGCTGTGGCGGCGCCCTTATATACCTGCGCTGGCACTTATGGCAACTCTAGAACATTCTGAAGTTTATCGCTCATTCTCTTTCTCTCGCTGTTCGCAGTGTTCATCCAACTTGACGTTTCTCTTTGTGGAACATTCTACGTCATTCCTCGAACATTCTGCCTATTTCTCGTTGTTCGCTTTGTGTTGCCGCAGTATTCGCCACAATATAAAAGAAATCCTAAATATTAGTTGCGTTCCTTATCTCCCAGAAAAAGTCCGAAGTAGTCAGATTTAGTCCAAAAAGCGTTCCTTAACGCGAAGATGACAGCAAAAAAATAGAGAGCAACACTCAGTGAGAGTGACTCTCTTCAGTCCGAAGTAGTCAGATTTAGTCAGAAGAATTTTTGCTGGCAAAATCTTGAAAAGTGTCAAACTCAACTGAATTTAAATTAACGGAAATTAAAGAATACATAAAAGGTGAGAATAATCTAAAAAGTAAAAAAAGTGAATTGAAAGTGGGTGGAGGCAAAAAATAATTGATATAGTAGGTTCATTCCTTATCTTTTTGGACTAAAATCTGAAAAGTGTCAAAATGCCAGAGCGTAAGCTCACTAAAAGAGAATAACAGGAAAAAGAAAGGAACGCAAAAAACAAAATTTTTAGTCCAAAGAATGGCAACAACAAAACTAACGTCAAATAAGAATGGAAATGTATGTACAAAATACATTCACACAAGCACAAGCACAATAAACACTTACTATAGCTGCATTTCTTTATTCATTCTGAACGTTCGGGATAAACTTTTTTGTTTACTTATTCTTTAGGACGCTCCTGATGATATGTTATCGTATATTTCAAACGCGTTCTGCTTATTCCGGCTGTGAAATGGGATAATCCGGAATGTATAAAGAAACGCAGCCTAAAAATATGTTCACATATCAATATTATCTCAATCAAAGCTCGTTTTTTAATCACCCCGTTTACACAGGCAAATCTTAGATTATTAGCCGTCAAATTTGTTGTGCTTGTTATTCCCACATATCAAGGAAAATTTATGTTTCTTCTCTGTGCCACTGTGATCACGTTTTTCTGCTATAATAAGCAATATAAATATATTTTAACTTAACATTTTATTAAAAATACCTTTACAAACCTCTTTTACTTGCTAGCGTAAATTTTTGTTTACTTTTACATTTGGCATTTCTCCTCTCTTTCGCAAAACAATCGATAAAACTAGGATGGACACCGAAAAGTTATCGGTTAAATCTGAGATTATTTTATAATTACAGATTAACAAGGGACGAATTTTATATGGCTAATCTCTTGTTATAATTACAGATTATGGTGTTA